ATTAAAATGTATAAACCTTTCAAAATAATATATGAAACATTATCAATTTTTATTGATTTTAATTTATATATATTCAATTCTTAATTAAAATGAAACATTATAAACTAAATTTATATTTAAAAAAGATTAACTTTAGTTACTATTGTTCATGAATATATTTAAAAGTAATTAATTTAAATATTGAGTATAAAAATTAATGCAATATTTAATGTTATAATTAATCTTTATTTATCAAGGTGTATATTAAATTAATAGCAATAGTGTATAAAATTAACTCCTCAATAGAAGCAACTAAGTTCATTAAATTTAATCACCCAAAAGAAATTATTAGTTTGTCCTGAGACACTTTTTGTTAACTAGAATTAATATATATATATATATATATATATATATATATATATATTTTTTTTTGTTGGTAACATTTTTTAAATTTTAAATATTTTTTATGTATATGTTATATTATTTATTTTTTAAAACAATTTTTAAAGAGATTTGTATTATACTTTATACGTTATTTAACCTGTCTTCTATTTAAAATTTCTTAACTTTAAAAAAGAAAAACGTCTGATGTTTAGTATTTTTATCAAAATTCATTTAATTTGATGAGACGAACTTTGTCATATTGAGAAATTAAATGTATAAGTTTTTAACACAGTTGAATGGAAAATTTAATAATTGAGCAGTTGTCAAATTAACTTTACAAATTGTAAATGAACTTGTGTCAATCTCAATGCTCATATATTATTGGTAAAATGTGATAATGTCCTTGCTTCTTTAGTAAGAACAGAGATTTGAAAATCTTGGAAAATCTCAAGTTTTGAAAGAGTAGGCTTCTTCTTCTTACTCTTTTTCTATGAGTGATTTTTTATTTATTTATTTTTTACATTTTACTATTCTTTTTGTATCTTAGAGATTATAAATTAATGATACATTTGTTCATGGCGCACTGATGACACTTTCTTGTTCAAATTTTTTACAGAGGTTGATATCCTTTGACTAGGTATGTGCCTTTAACATAATTTGGCCCCTTTTTATTTTTCGTTAAATCAATATGAACATCATAGTTCTCGTTGATTAGTTTATTTATTACCATTTATCATAGTCTTATTTTGTGTCCCATCAAACATGAATGAATTGTGTGCATGATTTGATATGCTTATAAACTATTTTCTTAAAATATTTTTTTTAAGTTTTTTTCATATATATATATATATATATATATTAATTAGTGAATATGTTTAATTATTTTTTATTTTGCTTTTTTTTTCAATGTTTCTGAAATTCTTATTTTAAAATTATTCGAAAATATTGATTAGGTTAATCTAGTTAATTCTCATTAAGATTAATTCTTAGTTAAATATATTTTTATATTGAATATCACAAAATATTTTAGTAACCTGACTTATTTTTAATCTCACAATCATTTCTCTCATCCAAATTATTCTTTTTAATTGCTTATATGATAATAAGAAGTTAACATTTATAGTGATAAGAAAATCACACATTGTTTATATGATAATAAGAAGTTAACTTTTGTAGTGATAAGAAAATCACACATTAGATATTGTGTTTTCAATTCAAATTATTAATACAAAACTTAATCATATAACCTATTAAAGATTTTTAATATCTAAACAACCTACATAATATGATTCAACAAACTCAATTATATTAAATATATTATCTTCATGTCTAACATACAACATACTAACTTTAGATGTTCCTCCTAAATATAAAAATTTCATTTTTTAGCTTCACAATGCAACTTTTTTGGTTTTCCATCCAAGCTTTCAACATTGGCATATGAAATCTTTTCCATACCTCTCTGTCTTTTGTTAATGGATCTTCACATGATAGTTTGAAGTGTTGGACAATAGTGGTCAAAATAATTTTTAATTTATTCACGTTGAACTTCTTCAACATCTTAGTTATATAGTTTCTCTTGAGTGACCAATAAAGTTTTCATCACTCAATCCCTTATGATATTTATATTTATTATTTTACTGGTAAACCTAGGGATGACAAAATGGGTCAGATTTCGTAAGCCAACCCACCATAATATGGTGGGGTGGATTGATATTTTCAGCCTGTCAGTCCGCTTTAACCTGCCTTGTCAAGTCTGCCAACCTGCGGGATGGGACCGGTCGGTTCGCGACCCGCCTAATTAATAAAAAAATATTTTTTTATTGTAATAAAGTTAATTATAAAGATAATATATAAAGTTAAAAATTTTAAAAAGATAATTAAAAAAGTTTCACTCTCACAAAAAATATTCTTCTTCTTTCGAAACACAACCTTCTCTCTTCTGTTCTCCTTGTTCATCATAAACACTGATTATTTTTATCCATATAACTTGAATTAAAGGTGTAAGAATTAAGAATAATGTATCAAATAAAAAAGATATAAGTATTTGAAATTTTTAATATAAAAAATATAAATTTTATAAGTTTTAATGTTATATATATATATATATATTATTTCAATTTAATAATATAAATCAATACATTGTTTTAAGAAATTATAATTTAGAACAATAATAAAATTTATATAATAATAAATAATAGCAAATATATATATATATATATATATATATATATTGAATTATTGACAAACAAAAGTCTTATTAAGTAAATCATTATAGTCAATACCCTTAAGTTGTGCAAACCCTCTTGCTGCTACTGACCTTGCTTTGGATCTAGCATTTTCTTCCTTCAACTTTAATAACCATTAGCAACTAGCACACTTCTTTCCTGTATGCTTATCAACCAACACCAAGGTACTATATTTATACAAGGAATTTAATTCATCATTCATGAATCATGAAAGCAATCCAATTCTTGCTTGTTGTTCATGGCCTTTTCAAAGTTGCTAGATTCATCTCCTCCATTGCAATGTGTGCAAAAACACCCATATTAACATACAAAATTTGTTGGTGGCTTAATGACTCATCTAACTTTATATTTGGAGAGAAGATACTTTTGTTAAGTAGTGTCTTCAATATGCTCGTTATCTTTAATTTTATATCCAATATTATGTTTTTTAATAAGATTTATTGACTTGGCTCCTCATTTGAGTATAATATTTATGATTCTCTAACTATAACCTTTATACTAATGAATACTCGAGAATATTCTTTCTTCATGTATCATAGTTTGAACCCTTTCAAACCTTTAGATAACGTAGAAGCATGCACTTTAGAGTCTTTGGTCCAAACTTATCTTGATTTATATATGACCATAAGTCACCAACCAAAATACTTTCAAATTTTATAGGCATTGAGGGTGATCAAACCACATATCTTGGAGTGTTTTCATTCCAATAGTAGTATAGAGGTTTCTATTTATCATATGAGAAATTGTCATCATTATTTCAGTCCAAAAATACGTTAAACATTTTGCATTAAACAAAAAACAGCTAACCCTCTTCATGACAGTCTTATTCATTTTCTTAGCAAGCTCATTTGGTAGGGGTCCCTCTCATAGTGTTATGCTTATCAATCCTTTTTTTTTTTTTGAAATAAATCAAATCCTTTAGACAAAACTCCAACTCATTATCAATCATAAGCGTCTTGATCTTTCTTCTTACCTGAGTTTCAACTAAAACTCTTCATTCTTTAGATTCTGCAAAAGATTCATTCTTATTTTTAAGAATGTAAATCCATCTTTTTTTTTTAAGAAATCATCAATGAAAGATAAGAAATATCTTGCTCCATTGTGAGAAGGAACTCTTGTTGGTCCCCACAAGTCATCAAGAATGTAATTAGGATTTCCTTTTATATGATGAGTAACAAAGATAAACTTCAATCTCTTTATCTTCCCAAAAATACAATATTTACAAAAATTCTAGTGCCTTAGTATTGTCTTTTCTTAACAAATTTTGTTTATTTTATATCCTTGAAACCTTCTTCACTTATATAATCAAACCTTATGACAATAATAGTTTTCACGAGAGATATAACATATATTAACACCCTTATTGTCCTTATATTCTTTTAACTAAAGTGAAAAATTACATAGGAAAATAGACCAAAACCAAGATAAATTTTTATATCTCAAAATTGTATTATAACGACGATATTATAAGCTTAAAGAGAAATAGTATTAAGTGGTGTCGTCTAGTCTTGTATTTATTAGATACATTACACCTATTTATAAACAAGAGTATTAAAAAAATGTTTACTTGAAATGAAAATTTATTTACATTTATACCATATTAAAAAAGGGATTTAGTTCTAACTAATCTTACAAAGGTAAACTTTTCACCATATAAAATTACTCAATATAAGATTTTTAATGCAATCATTCATATTGAAGATTGAAACACAAAACTATTTAACTGATATTTTCTATAAAACTATTTAACTTATTTTTTTATACATGTATGTCATTAATAAGTAATAACAATATATTTTGTTTTATTTCTTTTACTGATATTGGTAAATTGTAGGTAATAGTTTATAATAATTCATAATTGCCCTCATTAACATTTAAAAAAATTATTTAAATATATTTTTAGTTTTTGAAATTTTGAATAATTTTACTTTTAGATTTATTTAATTTTTTTCATTTGATTAGTGATTTTATAAAAATAGATAAAAATATATTGACATTTATACATTATAAATATCTTATTAACACATATTTTCTCCTAGCTCTTTCACATCACATAATGGAATTTATCCTACCTACCATTCTTTCTCTTACTTTATCTGACTTTATATTATAATTAATACATGTTTTTAGTAATTATTATAAGTCTTACTCTTTTAAGTGAAAACAAATAATCTATACATTACATAACATAATTATATCACATAATTTCTTAAATGAACAAATTTAGAGAGAGACTACATACACACATTTCAATTTGTATATCAAAATTAACTAAATTTTTAAGACGAAAGTATCATACTTAAGTCAATGACATAAATAGAATGTACAATATATAGCTTTAACCCTTTATATTCATGTCTTGTGCATGAAGGGAGAAAGGAAAACAAAATGAGATTTGAAGATGAAATAGAATGTATAAACAAAAGAAGGAGTAGTAGAATAATTGCTTTAGAAGAGAAGAAACAACTACAAAGGGAAAGGGAGCTAGAAATGGCATTAGAGAGAAAGAATGGTCCAATCAACCATGATATAAAAAACAAAGGAAAAGGCAAGACAACAATGGAGATATGTGATGAGTTGTGTAATATTAATGAGGGTGAGGAGGGAACGTTCAAGAAGAGACACAAGAATAAAGAACTTTATCAACTTATCTCTTCAATCCAGGTTAGTATTTATTATTTATAATTTTCACATTTTGAACTCACTTCTAATAATATTGTGAGTTTTGTGAGTTGAGGTATATAAATTAAGGATGTCATGAATTCATATAAATAAAATGATGATTTTCTTTTTTTGTTAATATAAGATTTTTCTTTTAAAAAAGTAAATCTCTTCACAATTATATTCAGTCGATTAGTGTGTAAAGTAGATTCTTAATGGACGTATTTGTTGGATAAAAAATATGATTGAAAGAAAACTATCTGTTACACTTAAATAAAATTTTCATTATGAAAAGGTTTACAAAATTTAGATATAACACTTCTTTAAAAAAGAAGTAAATGATAATATATTTTAAAATCACTTATGTTTTTAGTATTTAATTTCGCATAAATTTGGTTTTAGTTTTTTTGTTTAACTAGTTCCTTATTTAAAAAAAAACTAGTCCCTAAATATAAATTTTAACTATTTTTTATTTTTATTTTTTAGTTCCTAAAGTGTAAATATGAAAAGTTAAATTGAAAGTTTTTCAGATTTTTTTACTAAATTCATTCCAAATTTAGAGGCTAAAAGTATAATTAACTTTTTTTTAAAATAATCTTATCTTATTATGTTTTTTCTCGGCCTTTGTAAGTAAATTTAGTGAGGGCAAATATTTATGTAATAAAGCAACGAATGATCATGTTTTGAAGTATTAATTAATTTCTTTGTCTTTTTTATTCATTTATATTTTTCTCAACAAAGCATTTTTTTCATTCACTTATTTCCTAACAAATACCAGTTCAATATAATTCCATTTCCATTTTTTTTTAATTTGTGGAAATACTATGTTCATGATTCCTTAATGAAAATTTGATATTGCACTGATCCTATTACACCCTTTCTCATGACAAAGTTAGGAGTTTCTAATTAGTTTTTATCAATTGTTCTACCATTTCAAATTCATTTCAGGAATTAGGAAGCCAATATACTTCAAGAACAAATGGTGAGCTTATAACTATCCCAAAAAGTACAAATATATATTTTGTAATTGCACTTGTCAAATGTTATGCTTAAAATGACAATTTTGTGTATTTTTTACATGCAGACTCATCTTTGAATGGTCTGCCATTAAAGAACATCCTAGAGATTGTAATTGATTTTTTGCAAAGGTGAAAATCATGTTAGTTTATGATTATTTTTTAATTGAAATTGGCAAAATATATTATGTTCCATTTTAAAGATCTCACTGAAATTTATTCATGTATTAATAATTATAAAATTGTTTAAATGTGCAGACAGGACCTGGAAGAGCTATTTGCTGAACCAATTAATCCTGATGTGGTTTGTTGTTTTTCTTTAATTTTTAAGATTTAATTAATTGTTTATTGTGTTTTTTAATTATTTATAGTTGAGATTTGTTAATTAGTAATGTTGAATACTTGTTTTGAAGGTGAAGAATTACTATGAAATTATCAAGCAACCAATGGATTTTGCTACCATGAGAGCCAAACTTCATGAGAACATGTATACAAACCTTGACCTCTTCAAGGTTTGAAAATCATTTGCTTTCATAGTTTCTCAAATTTTATCTTTGTAAACTCTAGACAAGAATAGCATAGCAGATCACACCATAACAAGAAACATCTGCATATTTTGATTTTGTTACTCTTGATTTCAACACTTACACATTCTACTTGAATTCACTGCTACTAATTTAAAATAATGTTGTTAAGATAGCTAGATACATGTTTCTGAACCTTTAACTATATCTCACCTCTTTATTTAGTACCTACTTGTGAAACAATTTTCTTCAATGCTAAACTAATGTTTTGTTTTGTTTCAATGATTTACAGCATGATATCCTTCTATTATGCTCAAATGCAAAGATTGTTAATCCCAAAACCTCAATATATCATGAAGTGGTATGACCAAATAAATAGAAAGCTGAGTTGTTCAAGACTATCACCATAAAACTTAAAAGTAGTTTTGTTTTACTAATTAATTTTTTCAGGCTGAAGACATTAGTAGGAATGCTAAGTGCATTTTTGAGGCTCTAAGTGTTGTCTCTCACCATATCAACTTAGAATTTTCCAATTACAAGAGGCGCCCAGGTAGAAAGCCAAAAAATGGGCAACAGAAAACCTCAGAGAGTGATTCTCCCAAACTTGGTGGTATGGAAAGATGTTCCTTATTTCATATTCATGTAGTCTTAATCACTGTTATATGTTCCTCCTTAGAAAAACTTGTTATGTGGTAACAAATGTGTAATTAATTGACATCATTTTCATTATCATTAATATAAAAGTTCCATGATCATACATAATTAAAGTAGCAAGATATGAATGAGTAAAGATAAATAAGCAGTTTTAGTTTCTATTAAGAAAATTAGTAGTTGATATTCCAACAAATCAATGATTTGTTAATACAGGGAGACAAAATGTTGCTTATTTTATGGAAGTTGAGAAGAGGGGCATGTATAAGCCTACAAGTAATCTACTGGTTTCAGAAGTCCTGTGTGCTAATAAGCCTAACTTTCAAGTAAGTTCTGCTTTTCTCCCAAACAATTATACAAGTTAGTGATCTGTATAACAACAGTACAAATTGACAGTAAATGAGTAGTAGTTTGAAGATGCGATGTGGAATAAAGTAGTGCAAAGTATGGGTCACATTTGCACATAAAACTTATTTACTAGAGGATTTCACGCTATATGCATTAAATTTCATTTGGTGATGGCTACATATTAAAGGAACATATGATAGTCTTTATGAATTCCTTATACAAATCACACAACTCTCCTACTAGTATCACTTCCATGTAGTTTTTATTTACTTGAAATTCCAATTTCAAAATTTGTGTTACAAAAAACTACCTACTACCATTCATGATGCTTATTGGTATTTCAGGTGAATGAAAATCAAGTTAACTACAGAGAAAGTCTACTGCAGTTTGTGAAGCGCATGGGACCAATCGCTCAAACAGTGGCAGCCAAAAAATTTGAACCACTTCAGCATCAACAATTTTGCATTGGTAACACTTCAACCCAGAATCTCCTCGGAAATGCTTCTAGTTCACAAATTAGTCATCAACCAACTCCACATATACCAACACAACAAGAGAGTCTCAATGCTCAGAAAAGACTTACTATTCCTGATTCTGCAACTCAAAAAAACAACATTATTGATAAAACTAGGAACTTCAGAGGCATCTCAAAGGGAAAAATGGATTCCTCTATTGAGAATGTGTCTTCTACAGTTGGATCTATTCAAGAGGAAATTAATCGTGTCCACTTAGGAGCTAACAAAACAAGCAACACCAGAGAGTGGAATACCTCAACTGGTATTCCATACATGTTAGCCAATGGAAGCAGCACTAGCACCAACAATGTGTTTGCCCCTCACCATCCAACAAGCATAATCTCAAGGCCTCAACCAAGGTTATCAAGAAATAGAAGTAGTCTTTCAGGGCTACCACTCATGCCGAGTTCATGGTTAGAGGACACCATGTCTTGCATGAGAAACAACATCATTGAGTCATCTCTTGTGCATCAACCATGGAAAACAAACGCTATGTTTAGCATGATTCCCTCAAGGGTAACCCCTTGGTCTCAACCAATGCAAGGAGGGTCGATTTCAAGTAAGAACCTCTCACGGTTAACTATTTTTTTACCTTCTATAGCTTCCAACTTTTTTAATGATTCAAATACTTCATTGCATGGTTTAGGCACCCCATCTCAGCAAATAAGCTTCCAAGCCTTGCTGAATTCACCAGACTTCAATAATAGCAATTACACAATGCAGGCAAATCTTGGACAGGTCACGCACCAAGCTGCACCATACACTCCACTGGCAACTCAAGGGTTTCCAAACATGCAAATGCAGTTAAAGCAAGAATCGATTCCTCTACAGATACCAAATCCATTATCATCATCATCTCTGCAACAGACTTCTCATCTTCTTAAAGATAATAAAGAGAAACAACTTAACTTAGATCTTCATCTCTAAGTGTAGCATACTATAAAGGATTTGCTCCATGTGTCACATCTTTAATATTTTTATAGTACTAATCTGTTTAGGTACGAGAGTCCTCAATTTTGTAGCTTTGGGTTTTCTTCTACCACCCAAATTGACATGTTATTAATATTTGCAGAATTTTGTTTAGTTATATTTATTTTACTAGAATTAAAGTTTTTTAAATTTAACATTAACTTTTTCTTTTTTATTATGTTTGAAAATAGCATTTCAAAAGTTAAAAAAGCTATATTTGATGAATGAAAATAGGATTATAAAATATATAATTCAAGTTCTTTTTGTAAGATTATTTTCTGCCAGAAAAATATGATAAAAAGTAACTAATCGCTAAAATCAGAGGGTTTATAGATCAACTTTTTTTTTACTAAATCAAAATATTTTAATTTTTAAGGAGTATTTTTTTCTTTTTTGGCTTATTTTGCCTCAAACGAGTCATATTAGGCTAAGATAGATAATATTTGTTTCTCCTATTTTTAATTTTTATTTGACTTTATTTATTTCATGAAAGTTAATTCCACTTCAAGAAGTTATTTTTCTATATTTATAGCTCATTTTTTAACGCTCACAGTCTTTTATTCTCTATATTTTTCTATATAATAACATTATGTCTTCTAATCACAATGGTGATAATCTTCAGTTATAATTGTTATATTTTTTTTAAGAGATTTGAAATTACTAATTAGCTTAGTTTGTATTTAGTATATTATAAAATATTTTATTAAATCTAATTACCTGTCTATTTAATCTAATTACTTTAAATTTACATTTTTTTCTAATGTGACCGTATTTTAAAGACATAAATTAATATAAATAAATCAAATAAGATTTAATTCATGTTATAATGAATAAAAAATTCATTTTAGTAAAAAAAAAGTTCATTCTTAATGTATTTGATGAAAGTCTATCTATTCATTCAGTAACAACTTTTTATGAATTAAATATATAATTTATTAAGAAAATAAAATTTTTTGGTCTCTATATGAAAAACTAATATTTATAATAAAAATAATTAAATTGTTATCAAAATGATAAAGATAAAATATATTTTTTTATGTAACATGTTTTATTAAAATATTCTTTATAATTTTTTTATGTTAATTTCAACTCATTTAAAATTTGTTTATATGACAGATAGAAATAGTGATATAGCTGATAATTAATTTTTTTGGGTAAGATTATTTTTTTCTTTTCCAAAATGTATTATAATGGTCCTTATAAATTTTTGTGGATTAGTTTAGTCTATGTAAAATTTAAATATGATTTTTTTTGTTTAATTTTTTTAAACTCCACGTGAGCAAATAGATGTGACGATGAATGGAAAGTACCACTGTCTTTGCTGTGATTTGTCAGAGGTTTTTATTCGTATTTTTATGTATTAATTAATATTTTTATTAGAAAAATTTAAAAAATTATTATATTTATATATTAAAATATTTAATTATAATTTATAATTTAAATTTTATTAATAATATTTATGATATAAGTTATAATATTATAATATATTTATATATTTTAATAATATAATATTTTAATTATAAATTTTATTTTAATAGGATGGATAAACGGACAAAAAATAGATGATCAACTAAAATTGTAAACGGATTAATTTTAAATTGACACATCGATCGATCAATTAATCTTATCATTCCTACATGATCACATAATTTCACACAAAAATTTCAAATCATATTTTTGTTTATAACATAATAAATTTATTCACTATGTTAAAATTTTGGTTAAAAAACTTATATTTAAATTTATATTATCTAAATTAATAAAAAAATTTACAGACATTATTTTAATAAATAAAATATTTTATAAAAATACAAAATATTTAATTTAAACGCTTACGTGGTTATGTTCATTTTCTATTTTAAAATAATTTAGATGTATTTGAAATAGAGAGTTTAGGAAAATATATAAATAATTTTTTATATAAAATATTTGTAATGTAAGGATGAAAAAACAAGTTAAATCTAATCGTTCTATTTTAGAAATGATTAAATAAATTAATAGTTTTAAAATAGGTCGATTAGTTAAATCGTTTTATAATATATATATATATATATATATATATATATATATATATATATATTAAAATTAAATAATTATAATTAAAAATATTATATTTTTATTATATTATTGAAATATATAAATATATTTTAATATTAAAATTTAAATTATAAAATTAATCAATTAAGTTTGAATTAAATATTATAAATTATATTTATTTATTTTAACATATAAATATAATAATTTTTTAATTTATATAATATAAATATTAATTAATAAATAAAAAAATTTAAAATTATTCATATAATTAAATATATATTTAAAAAAATATAATAATAAAATGATATAAAAATTTATTTACAGAATAATCCGATTTTACCATATAACTGTGAACTTAATAAAGTTTAATTATGCTTCTAGTATTTAAAAATTAAAACTAATTTAGTTTTGGTTTCCTATATAAAAAAAGTAGTTCTTTAAATTTAAAAATATTTAAATATTTTTTAAAACTGTTTTTTAGTTCATTAGAATATAATAATAATATCGCATACTGTGAAAGTTACTTATAATATAATTTTGCATTTCTTTTTAAAGTAAATTAATTAGTATTACAAGTATTATATTAATATATCAATAATTGTGAAAGAAAATAAAATATTTGTGTGACTCTCGAAATTAATGTTGTGGATTATATTAATATTCATAATAAGATTGTCTGCCTTGCTGGTAAAGGTTAATAAATAATTTTTAATAAAATTAATTGATAGCAAGTACAAATATTTATATTTTTTAATTAAAATAGTAATTTATAAAACAATATAAAAATTATAACCAAAAATTATATCTAAAATATTTATTTAAAAATATTTTAGTGAGACTATTTCTACATTAAAATCTAAAAAGATTGAAATATTTATTTAAAAATAAAAAATATATATTACTATGTGTGAAAATTGTGAGTAATACTTAAATATTATTTGTCTTCAAAATTTTGACTCTATTATATTAAAAAAAAATATTTTTATTAATGTGTGTGTGGAAAAAAAATTTGTTAAAAAGAATACAAGTTGTTCAGGTGATTTTTTTTCCTCTCTTAATAGTTTAATTTCATGGTTTTTATGTAATAAAAAAAATATTTGATTAACATTAGATTGAAAAAATTAATTATACTTTTACTCCTTTTATTTTAGAAAGTACGCCATTTTAGTCCAAAATTCCCCCAATTTTAATCTCTTAATTTTAAGTTATTTATGTTGTTATTTATATTTTTTTTTACACAATTTTTATGTTTATTCCTTAATTTTCATTCATAATTTGTTAAATTTTTAAGTTTAAAAATATACTGAACCAAACTATTAAATTTTATTTGATCTTAAGTTTATGCAATGGTTTTCCTTTTTAAATAAAATAAAAAAAATCATGAATATTATAAATATTTTCTATTTTTATTTTACGTCTGAAATAAGAAAAAAATGCAGATAAATGAACTAATTTACGAGTAATTAAAAATTAAAAACTAAATTTGTGTAGAAAAAGGTAAGGATTAAAATTAGGATAATTAAAAATTTAGAAACTAAAATTGAAAAAAAGGTCCTATAAGTTTAATGAAATATAAAAACAAAACTACAATTAAACTTTAAAATTAAAATTAGAATAATCAATGTATGCTTGTAAATAACATTTTAAAAAAGTTATTTTTACTTTTATTTAATTGATAAAATATTAGAAAACGTATATTCTTTTGGTGCTGGAAAGTTTAAGCAAACGTATAGTCAAACGGTGCAATTACTCCTTTTTCCAATGTAACGCTAAAATCACCGCTTGGTTCACCAATTTTTCGCATTACCCTATCCAATGAGATTCAAAAGCTGAGCTGCATAATAAAAATATCACCTTTATTTTCTGCACAATTTACGTTTGAAAAACGTTACTAAGTTTAATTCATAAATACTTTTCATTTCCAGTGAATAGAAGAATTACGTTACTCATAAATTCAATAAATACATTTTATATCCATAAATTCTATGTTAAAGTTATTGATATGTTATTAATGAATAATCTAAAATGGTATTATAATACCAGCCACTATGCCAAACAAAGTATAGCTGTAATCAAAATTAAAAATCCACCTTATCTTTTCAGTTAAAAATAAAATTATTAGACCAATTAAAATTTTAAATAATATTTTTTAAAATGGTTAACTTAAAAGACATATAATGCTTTTCAAAATGTTAACTTAAAAAGGGTATATATTATTTTACGGCGTATTTGGAAGATTTTTTTTTCTAAATATTTTCAAAAGCAAAAAAATTAATTTTAAGATTAAATTAATGTATATATAAATTATAAAAACATATTTTAAAATAAAAACATAAGATATTCTTCTTTTTATTTTTAATAGATTAATTATTTATTACACTAATTTAGTGACAAATATTTAATTTTATTTTTAGTATAATTAATGTTTCATTTTTTAAAAGATTTCGTATATTAAAATATAAGATTGATTTTTTTATATATTTTAGTCAATTTTAATTTTAACTATTATACTTGCAAATTGATTAATGAAAATATGTTATTTTATTATTTTATATTGGAATTTAACAATAACTTTTTTCTTAACAGAGATTAAATATGATTTTAGACTTTCTTAAATTTAATATTTAATATATTTTAATATTATAAAATTGATAAAATAATTATATTTATATTTTTTTAATTTGAAGATTAATTAATTAATTAATTTTTAAGTGTAAAAACTAAGAAAAAATACATAATTAAAAATATATTTAAGTTTTAAATATATTATTTTATTTATAAGAAAGACCAAGATAAATAAAATTATATAAGATATCTGAGTTTGTAAATATTAAAATTTTAATATAATTTATAAGTGAATTATAAATATTATCTTATATATCGATTTGTAAATAAATTATTGGATTGTTATAAAAATATTT